CTTCGTGCAACGAAGAGCTACGAGAATGATTCCTGGTCTTAGAGGAATGTCTTACGAGGAGAGGTTAGCGGAACTGAATCTGTTCAGCCTTGAGCAAAGGAGACTAAGGGGGGATATGATTCAGGTCTATAAGATTCTAACGGGTCTGGATGCCGTTCAGCCAAATGACTATTTCAATATTAGTCTAAATACTAGAACTCGTGGCCATAAGTGGAAATTAGCGGGAGAACATTTTAAAACAAATTTGAGGAAGCACTTCTTTACACAGCGTGTAGTCAGAGTATGGAATAGTCTTCCTGCTATTGTAGTGGAAGCTAAAACCATGGGTTCCTTTAAATCAGAGCTAGATAAGATTTTAACAACTCTGAGATATTAGCTAAGTTCTCCCCAAACGAGCTTGATGGGCCGAATGGCCTCCTCTCGTTTGTAAATTTCTTATGTTCTTATGTTCTTATGTTAACACCAGCCCTTGCTGTTGCGCTGCCTTGCATCTGTTCACTATATGGATCCTGACTACTGAGTTGTTACACACACACGGTACCTGAATGTCTATGGCAGGAGCCAGGGTCTGCTTCACACTGCTTGCCATGGAATAGTCACCACTTTGCACCACCCGATGCACGATGTCATTATTATTCACCATGGCAACAAGGCGAAGCGGCACACCCATTAGGTTCACAATGCAGCCAGCTGGTCAAGGCAGCAAAACAGAACAGGAAGTAAAAGGACAGTAAGCTCAAATCCTCCTACAACCCTGATCCCACTGTTATAATCCTGTTCCCATTCACTTCCATGACCAACATGACAGAATACTTCACCATAAAACTTCTACACAAGTGACGAAGCACAACAGTACCTGCAATGTTTCCAGCACCTCCTGTGGGCACCACAACCTCGACGGTAGGCAGTTCCTGACCTTTGACCTTCTGCAGGTCACTCAAATGCAAATATGCATAAAGGAAATGGGCCAGCTGCACCAGGATTCGGGCCCAGTTTACAGAATTCAAGCTCATGAGGCCGTGATTTTTGACCAGGTCTTGATCAGCAAAGAGACGTCTCAGTGGGACATCAATGTCATCAGAGCTGCCATCCGCTGTCAACCAAGACAAACAGCATCTCCACATGATGATTCAGTTCTGTATGTTATATAGTTTCCAAGTTACCCAGACTGTTTATAAAGCTACCAAGTACTACTTTTCAGGATGACCAGGTATAATCTCAACATAACCCTCATGTACTACATCGTGAGCAATTACCAAGCAGAATAATAAATATGTGACTATTCTACTGAGGCTGGTCTTGAACCCGTGACCTTCTGATCACAGGCACAGAGGCTTAGCCCTCAGAGCCACACACTGTCACTAAAATTCGAGGGGAAAACAACACAAGCAGTCATTCTGAAACAGAGTGAATCACAGCATAGGCGCCGTAACTCCCACCCGCAAAGACATGCACATTGTCCTCCAGGCTGGTGGTCATGTGCCTCTCCTGTACTGTGGTGATACGTCCCAGGGGAAACACAACCAGCACGTCCACCCCATCCAGGCCACGAGCACTGCAAATGGCAGAGCCCCCAGTGTCCCCTGAGGTTCCTGCAAAGCAGCAAACAGCAAAGTTATCGTCGTGGGCAACTGGACCGAACGCAAGTACCCATGGGATTTACTGCCGACAACACGGAATTTCATTCAAGACACAAACATCCATGCTACAATGCTTTTCAGCATCCTAGATACCTGTAGGTCCTACTAGGTATTTTTGCAATAGTGAATTAGAATTTTTCTTCATTTAATAAAAATGTAGGTTTTTAGTTAGAATTGAATCAGCACAGACATGGGAATATTGATAGTTATGCGATCATGCTTCTGCTAACCCACGAGAATAGTGGCCCGACGGTGTTCTCTGCGCAGAAAGTAATCGAGCAGGCGGGTGACGCAGGTCATGGCCAGGTCCTTGAAAGCCATCGTCTGACCGTGGAACAGCTCCAGCACACAAAGGCCGTCCCTAAGCTGCGCCAGGCGCACAGCACCTGGCACTGAAAACTCCGACAGTGCCTGAGGCAGCAAGTCTGCAAACAGACAGCCAGGGAGACAAAGAGCAGCACAAAGCAGGAAGACACGACTGAAATGAAAAACCCAGAGAAGGATATATCTCACATAACAAGCACGATAATGGACCACTGCAGTACCATAGAACCAATTATTCATGCACAATATGCAAAGATGTGCTCGTATGTTATTGTTCATTGTGTTGGTCTCTATAAATTACTTCAATAATTTGCCTACCTTTATGTATACAGAGATTAGAGCAGATACGGGCTTGTGTCACCGACTAATTTTACACATTAGTTAACTCTGGTAATGTCCTACAATATAAGTACTTTATTATTAATGAGTTAATAGACCACTGCATCTAGAGCTCTCCAGCCCATAAAGCGGCGGTAATGTCATACCTGCTAGGTCACGACGCGGTATGAGATCATCGGGGATGAATAAGGCGCACACCTCCAGTACCAGCTCAGGGTAGGACAGAGAGGCCCAGGACCTGAGGGTGTCAGCGGAGAGGCCAGGCAGACTCTCCGGCATAAACATCCCCCCATCGGGAGCATAGCCCGAAAACAGTACTTGCCGGAAGTCCCATCCACGTGTTCCACCTCTTGTGCTGCAGTACCGCATGATTGCTCCTTTTGAAAAAGTTCGCTGCGATGCATAAAATCAAGACATATATTCTCTAAACGATCCAAAAAAAACTCAAAACATTAAATGAAATAAACACAAAACTACACCACGGGCCTGTATCACAAAGCAAGATTTAGAGATAGCAATTTCAGCATTGCATAACTTTTTGGATTTAAGGTAGTCTGGGCTAAATATATTTTAATGCAGACTAAATTCATTTAAAACTGAGGTACTATCATGCAACTATAAGCAGGAAATCCAGCCTGGTGCAGGCTCCAATACTGCAAAATAAAATAAATAAGATAAAAAAAACACAACTACACACTAGAAAGTTTCACAAGGATGATATCTTTATCTGTCCCCATCCTGTCCCCGTGTGTACCAAAACCAGTCTCACCTCATCCGCGCGTGTACCAAAACCAGTCCCACCTCATCCGCGCGTGTACCAAACCCAGTCCCACCTCATCCGCGCGTGTACCAAAACCAGTCTCACCTCATCCGCGCGTGTACCAAAACCAGTCCCACCTCATCCGCGCGTGTACCAAACCCAGTCCCACCTCATCCGTGAGTGTACCAAACCCAGTCCCACCTCATCCGTGCGTGTACCAAACTCGTCCCCACCCCGTCCCCACCTTGTCCCCGCATGTACCAAAACTGGACCCACCTCATCATGAACCTTATTATATTTCACATTTGTTCATATTTGCCTTTAAATATCAATTATTATATTACTCAACACTGCCGCAAGGTGGTGTTGGAGTGAGAACAAATAATTTAACAGAACAAAAAGTCAAAAAGTACAAACACCAACCTGCCAGAACTGTGTTCCACTACGTGACAAATAAAGGGAGCCATAAAAGTGGTGTTATAATAAAGAGCAGATAATGTTTACGTTTAGTATTTCTTGCATTTGGAAATTAGTTGTCTGATAAAAATCAAGTGTGTCCTTTCTGTTGTGCAAAGTTGATGTGACAGTCACATTTCAGTAATAATCATATTGTTAGTGGTATACCGATGTGGATGTTTTGCCAATAACCGATACATTAGGGTGACGAGATAATCCATGTCAGGGAGGCTAGATAATCCATGTCAGTGGAGAAGGCTAGATGGGTTTGTAAGACCGGAGCTTTTTATCTGGGTGCGCATGACTTCCAGCTTTTTACGCTCTGTGCAGCGCTTCATTACTCCCCCATCCATCCTCCGGACGCTGCAAGTCAAGTTCCGCTCTGTCACTCAGTATGTGTGTTGATTTCCTGTAGCACCTTTTTCCATCCGCAGACAGGTCTTTCTATTTCAGTGCAAAAAACACTCGGAGCCCCGAGTGATCTGACCCAATGACACCAATGGTCGGAGCACAAAAAGAATTGAACTATTTTACCAAACACAGTATAGCCTTTCATTTTGCTCATTGTCCTCCCTGTTCTGCATTATCTGCTCGCCATAGTTATGTAATCGACTAAATGTTTATGAAAGTAAAAAAATATATATGAAATCATATAATACCCAGAATCATGCAGCTTTACTCCTCTTTTTAACTTTCTGTTGCAGACATAACGAAGTGAATATGCGTGCTTGTCCTGTCACGCTAATTTACCTTAGTTTTCCTCCAGTGTTTTGTTGTTTAAAGGAGTCAGACGTTGTATCGGTCAATAAGAAATGTAATTAATTCCTTAGCTTCCAGATATTTAAAAACAAATGCGGAAAACGTCCTGAAGTTACAGCCCACAACCAAGCCGAAATCGGGATCGGAAAGCAGAAAGTCCAGGCAAACAGCTCCATCTTCAGGAAGTCCTGAGACCGACAAATGTACCTTTAGACAGTCTGTGGTCAAAGTCTCAGCTGTATTATGCATGTGTCATATATTCAGATAAAATAACACAAATACAATAAAACGCTGGCATCAGAACAAAGGATTTTCACGAAAGAGGCTGGGGGGAGGGAGTGAGACAGTTAAAGTTGTCGATCGGGTGGAGGGAAGGTAGTGAAGTGCTTAGCAGACAGGCGTACTGTAGCCGCGTCCTTGGAGGGACCCGTCTAGTTTTATGACGAACACCTTTATTAAAATATGAAATAAAAGACGCTGTCCATGATGGGCGGCATTTGGGGTTGCAAAATCTATAATTTTCCCGCGAATGCCCCTCTATGAGGCCAACCTTGCAATAGGTTCTGGAAAAATCCTAAAGCTACGATTCACTAAATGGTGTGGCTCTGTTATACAGGCCTATTAGCGTTCACGTCACAGACTGTGTTTATAGCACTTCTACTATAAATCGAGCTTAGACTAAGGTCTGCATTCTCCCCATCATGTTATATTCTCTGGACATGTGATCATAGTGGTGGCAACTTTTATTTATTTTATTTTTTTTAATATTTCAAAACCTTTGCCATACTTCAGCAGTGGGCTGCCCCACTTAAACATAAGTTTGATAGTAAGGTTGGGGGTAAAGTGCACCTTAAACCAAAAATTTGGAACTAGTTACTTTTAAATTAGCACTGTGTTTTTTTGCACCACTACTACTTAAATTACATCGTAGTTAGTAACTTCTAAATAACAATATTCTCTCAGAATGACGTTTTCACCATGGACAACCAGTCAATATACCGTCTGATATTACTGAAACCAACTCGCTGTTCCACGTGCTTTAATTGTTTGTGAATAACAGATTTTCAAATACTATGTGCACATTTGACATCTAGCCTCAGTAACATATTCCCACATGGGTTGGGATGAAAAAATGTTTGTTGAGTTCGGATTACACATAGATACTGATATCGTTTCACTGTATTGTGAGAATTATTTCAACCACAACTGTAATGGAAGCCCATAATAGTGTCCCCATCAGCAGCGTGATGTACGAAGTGTGTTTGCTAGGTAGCTTGCTGGGCATGGCCATCAAATTTGTGGTAATTTTGTATTGGTAAAGTGAGATAGACATGTATTATGGGTGTGTCCCAATTGTTTTGCTACAAGAGATGCTCGAGCTCAAGGAATAAAAATGGGGTTCATGCTAAATAACGCAGGGCAATGAATTTTTCTATCTTGCCAGCTGACATTGGCTGACTAGATTAAAGTTAGCATATAATATAAAATATAAAATATTGAGACAGACCAAGTGAGGGAAAATGGTGTTTACTGATGTATGCCAGTCACAGTTCAGAGCTTGAAAAGGTCGCTGGTTCAAATCCAGCCTCAGCACACCTGTGGTTCCTTGAGCAAGGCCCTTAACCCCCAACTCCCTGGGCACTACTACAGGTGACTGCCCTACGTGGACAACTTACTCTACAAAGAGTGCTATCCACCTTAGATTGCCCATCTGTTCATTTTCCAACTGCTTACCCAGTACAGGGTGCTTTAGATGGTATAAATTTAATATTTACTTTTATCAGTACTGCGTGAATTAAATTACAGTCTGACTGTATACTTTTCATGGGACAATTAAAATGCTTTAATCCTAAAACTCAGAAAATGTTCATATGGACTGAAGTAAATATTGTTACAGCATTATAAATATCAGATTTTCCAATTTTCAATCAACAGGTTAAACGCCATAAACCATTTAGAAATACCTTTTATTTCTCTCCAGAATTCTAGTGGTAAGACATACACGTACTTGCACTGGAATTAGACCATGTTTGAACTAGCATGAATTTGTATTTAAACAGATGACATGACTGGTTGAACTTTTGATATTTGAACGGTTGACATTTTTACATTTAAATCGGTCTGTGAAGTAGTAGTATGAAGTATCAGCTGGGTGAGAAGGTGACAGCCGAGAGCTCATTTCCCACGAAACAGCTTCCTTATGTTATCTTCTAGGGGCTCTGCCAGGTTGCTAATTGGCTGTCTCTTGAGGGCCGCCTCCCGCAAGCTATAGTAGGCAGCCTCGTTCTGCTGGAACATCTGCAGCTCCATCTCAGCCTGCAGCCGTATGGCCTGCAGACACAATGAAAATGCACGACTTACATGGTGAAAATAAGGAATAGTTCAAAAACCTCACATGAAGTGTTTTTGGAACTGGACCACTGACCAACAAGGTCAACTATTTAAGACAAACCTGCAATGTTTATTTCATGCTTTGTTTGTGTAAGTGTGTATATTTAAGAACAATATAAAATCCTTTGTAAATGGTGGTAATGTTTAGTCTTCTATAAGGGGCGGTGAGCACCTCCAAGTCCTTGGTGATGGAGTGGGAGGGCCCATGGGTGATCATGAGGATGCCATTAGCCTTACATAACATACTGTGACCAGCCTCGATCTGGCCAGCCTGCCAGAGGGTCACTCCAGCCCGCATTGTGGCCATGCCCAGCTGGGCATTATTTGGATGATATAGTTTCCTGTTTGGGAAAAAAACGAAGTGCACAGGTCATGTAATTAGCACAAACACTTTAATAAATACACTTTATGTAGTACATAGCTACAGACCTGCATGTGACTATTAATGGAAAAATATGCTAAATCATTGTGTCCAACCATCCTCCATCACTACTTCAGAACCACTCCAACACAGTTTAGTACTGGGTCACAGTCAGCCTGGAAGCCTATCCAGAAGTAGGGCTGAGAGATACGGCAAAATATTTTATCGCAATAATTTTTCCACATCAGTCGATATCGATAATCATCATGATATAATTCAAGTCATCATTTCTTATTTCAGTTTACGAAAATGTTTTCCAACCGTTACAGTTTTAGTTTCAGTGCTCGTTAACAATAATAACAACAATAACCCTGGTAGGACGTAACATCAGAAAACATTGACAGTACAGCTTGTTGCTGCATCTTTTTCCTCTGATTGCCTCTTGTGTATCTTCACATTGAAACTGAAAACCCTAATTGGGTCATTCTCAGTATAGGGTGTCTATGGGATTGCTAATGGCCTCTGCTATAAGGACCCATCTCGATGGCGCTGCAATATTTCCATTGCCTTGTGTTAACAGAAATGCCATTTTCAGATTGTGTGCCTTTTTAAATAATAATAATAATACTTTTTTTTGTGAATTATGAATTTTCTGATAATAATATTAATTTCTTTCACCAAATCAGGTTGTGCTTTCCGTTCCATAGAAAGAAGAGCAGAAAGTATATATGAATAAAAAAAATCAAATATTATTTGTCCCCATGTCATTTACAAAAAATCAGTTATAATGATTTTTTTTTTTTTTAAAAAGAAAGTTTATTTCTTTTGATAAGAAATTAAGGCAATAGGGTGGACCAGCACATGGCAGGGAGGAGCAGGCATGACAGGATAAACAAAGGCTTTACTCAGTAACATACTCAGCCGTAGACATAGTGGTCCAGACATAGTAAGTCACAGACCCTGCTCTTGCAGCCAGGTGTTTGGTACAATTCCCAGTGAGTATTTTGCAAAGTCTATACATGGTTCTAAAGATGCATTAGAAACTGGGCATTTGATTTCTCAAAGTGGTTAAAGGGGAATTCCACTACCACACACTTACATCAACTGAAGAAGATACACACATACAGTATGTTTCACAAAAGGTATCAAGGGCATGCACAAGTTGACACTGACATAAAAAAATGCATAAATCTACCCTCTGGATTTTCACTCAGAACTGAAATGTTCTTTAAATACGAAGGAAGATGAGAGGCGATGTACAACAATTAACCTCTGGATGTAGTTCTCCTTCTTCTTTGGACACTATCAGTGTAGTAAATGCAGATGTTACATCGATGTACGTTCCTCTGCTATCAAACACACATAACCAGCTCCTTCAGAGGAATATAAACACTTACATGTGTCCCTCTACCATCCTGCGCGCATAGCCAGCAGCCTCGGAGAAATCATGCCGATATGAAAGCACCTCACTGGCTACGCTCAAGACTCTCAGCAGGTAGAGGTTTGTGTCGCCCAGCACCGGCTCCTGCTGCTCCAGGCACTGCCGGCACAGCTTACCCACCTGACAGAAGCCGAGAGACATGACCATGATACTCATACAAACCAACCTACAGGAACCAAGAAGGTAATTACAGTATATTTATGTGTGCCGGAATATTCTGCTGTAGGGTTTGAAATGCAATGTGTAGAAAGTGTAGAAACCTGGAAGTTCACTTTGTCTGTTTCAGCTTCAAGGGAGTAGATAAAGCAAAAATAAGTTGGTAGCACTGGTTGTCTGTAAAAGATTTAATGTCTGTAATTTGACCTGTTGGAGTGTAACATAAGTCTGTTGGAAAGTCATATTGCCTCAGCTGATCCCAGATTGTAGTGTGTGCAGCCGATGATTGAGCCAGGTCACCTAGAGAATGTTTACTAGCCTTTTTTTTTTGCCTTTTTGGACCTCGTAGCTCATATAGAGACATTTTACAAATAATGCTCTAGCTATGACACCTTGGTCACCACTTGTTGAAAGCAGGTTTTGAAGAGCAGACATTACCTCTTCATAGTTACCCTCAATGCGAGCCTGTTCAATCTTCTCCAGTGTCTTTACACTAAACTCTGTTACTTCCTTCACATCCTGATCCGATTTCTAGGACATTAAAAATGACACTGTAAGAAACTAAGAAAAGTGTGTGTCATGGGAATTCTACCATCTTTCGCATCATATAAAGTCATTTATGGACATTTATAGATCTATATTATAGATTCTGTCAAACTGAAGTACATCAGCTAGAACATAGATGGCAGAGTTTCCCTACCCAGAGTATATTAGCAACTAGGAAGCACATTTTTGATATCTGCATATTTTAAACATCAGAAATTCTTTGTTCTCCACATTCTTAAAAGTATAACATTGGCGAATTATAATGATGTCATTGTTCAATTTGGGAGTAACATGATTGCTACTGTGCAGGTAACACTGTCTGTTTTACCCCATCATTTAAAAATATTCAAGGAATTAGAAACTGCACATTGACCCCTTTTGTTTGGTTAAACAAACAAACCAATAATCAGTTCAGATTTCTCCAGTCTGTGCAGACTGGAACCCCCCCTAAAAAAAAAAAAAAACATGTCTCCATGTGACCGTATTCATGGACTACAACAGCCTTCTCTGGATAATGTCTCCTCCTAACACTACAGGCCATCTGCCTAGATGGTGTCTACAGGTTTTGACATCCACATTACCCACAAGCATGGACCCACAACAAGGGCTGGGAAATTTCTCACATTAATACATATTGTTCATTTGAAAGTAATAATGCATTATTATTTCTTTGATCAAATTAATACACGCAGCATTTTTATGGACAATGGAGTGATCAAAGAGTTTCAATACAGACCTATAAGGGTTTAGGTTAGGACATTGCATAGAATCCCAGAATTCAAAGATAAAACGAAAACATTCATTTAGCGAATCACAGGAAAGCTGACATTACCTGGTTTATTTAGTTTTTTTACAAATCGCCAGATGGAGGTATATATAGGATAACATTTTTGAAATTTGCAGTTTGTTTTAATTTATTGAAGGCTTAAATCTTAAAATTTCAAGATCCTTCATGTTTTTAGTGTACTTTTAGTGGTTGTTAGGCTTTTGTTTTTAAAGTCATTTGTGAAATAGATTTTAGATTGATCACACGGTTGGAATAGTGTATTGGTTGCATTTTTAATACCTGCAATTATATGTACATGTATATACCTTTTCAATGCCTTTTTGAAAGCATTGAAATTCAGCTTGTACTTGCTTCTAAGTCTTATTTTTGTTGTAAATGAATAACATCACAAGTTCAAGTTTAACCCTTAAACAAACATTAAAATATAGGTCATTCTCACAAACTTGAGTTTTTGATATGTTTTAGTAATGGGTTTGTGAGACTGGCCCATATGCTCTCCTTTATGTTAATTTACCTTAATTTAGGGATTCAATGTGTAAATATTTATGATTGTAAGTTTTAATGTTACATGCGACTAATCGCGATTAATCACAGAAAACTGTTTGACTAATTGTTTTTAATCAATTCACAGCCCTAGTTAAAAAACACACGATAAAAGCACCCTACTGCTAACAGGTGACACTCTCACTTTAATGGAAATGTTTTTGAGTGCTGAGGTTTAATGGCTTTAGTCTGGAAGCTCATTGTAGTGGCTGGCAGAGTGAACAAAGCAGTTTGAGTAAGAATATGAAGAGTCATAACCAACCTTATTGCTATCTTTGACAGCCATCATGAGGTCATCCTTCAGGTGCTCAGTGCAGTGCTGACAGGTACAATCAAAGAAGTATTGCTGTCTAAGAATACGCTGGCGGTCTGAGGACACATTGAGGAAGTCAATGTAGCTCACTGTAAGCTCATCCCCTTCAGAGATTTTCTCCAGGGTTCGCAGCTCTATCCTAAGAAGTCAAACAGGGAGGAACAGGAAACCTGAAGATGACAGAATGGAAGCTGTGGTGGTACAAATGAGTATAAGGAACCAGCGTAAAGGCCATTTCACATCGAATGGCGCGCGAAAAAATGACATGAATCTGCTAAATATTCAGATGAGAATTTCATGGATAAAAAAAAACTTTCACATCAAACACAATGAGAAATTTTCAAAACTGATTGCAATATGTGACCTTTCTCAAACTGGCAACAACCACTAACATCAGTAACAAGTTGTTTTTTTTTGGAGCTAAAAAGTGATAATAAAAGAGCAAATATACCTGGATACCTGCAAATATAAAAAGCTTAAAATTTAGAATGACCAAATCAGACAGTTAACAACATCATCCATTAGTTAATTAACTAACAGAATAAAGAAAACAGAGCTTGTCAGGACCAGTCCCTGTCCTCTTGTCCCGTTCTTACCGTTTGAGCTCTGAGTGTTAAGTGGTAATGAGCCTCACCTGTGTCTTGTTGTTCCCAGCACTAGAGTTTAGTTGCTTGTTGTGGTCTGCACCTGCCCCTCATGTAGACCTCGTTATAAGTATATACGTGTTCTTACCTTTGCCCTACGTCTTTGTTGGTCATTGTGGATGTACACTGTTAGATCCTGCTCATGGTTTTTTGGTGGTCCCTGTTAGTGTTCTCATTTATCCTCCCTTCCCCTCGTTATACCCCTTGTGGTCTATATGTTTGTTGGTTTATTTTTGTTAAAGTCCCTTTGTTGTTTAAAAGCTGCATTATAGGTCGTCACTCTGTCCCATTGTGAATAACCGACCACCTACCACAATCCAGCATCTTTGGGCGCCAGGTCACTCTTAGGGCTCCTCTCCACCATGAGGACTGCATTGCCCATTTGCCCAGACCTATGGACCTAAGAACCACCCTGTTCCCTCAAGTCCCCGCCCTTCCCCCTGAGGGAATAACGCCAGCAGTGTCTCACATCCTAGCGGCAGACTTCTTCGCCCTCCTGGAGCCATACTGGCTCCTGCTGGGAGACCCCATGGTGCAGAGGTCGCTGAAGGCCATCACCCAGCTCCAACAGGCAAGAATGAGTGTCCAGTCTCTCACTCACGTCGGACCCCCAGCAGGTAGTCTGGATCCAGGCTGCCCTGCTAGACATGGAGAGGGCATGTGCCGAGGTGGGTGCCTCACCTCTTGAGGATGTCTTGCCCTTTGCCCATAAAGACAAGCTCAGGGACCACTGAGTCCAGTCTCCAATCCCTGGCCCAGAAGAGCCGAGACCGCATCTCCAGCCTATGGTCCAGAAGAAGTCCCTTCCCTCTTCCACGTCTTGCCAGACCATGAGCCACCAGAGCCTGTGTCCCAGGTTCCCAGCCTTATGGGGGGGGGGGGTCGCTTCACCCCAGTCCCAGGTTCTCGGTCCTGAGGGGGTTACTTAGCTCGCAAGAGGATCTGGATTGGAATCCTGAAAGTATCGCTCTGAATCCCACCCTTCTGGTTCCTGCTCTGATCTCATGTTCACGCTGTTCTTGTGGCACGTTCCAGCACCAGCCTCATGTCTCCTTGTCCTGGCCGCCGTTTGATTTGTGCCTGGGTCCCATGTACCCTCTCCAGTCTTGTCAGTTTTCCCTTGTTCCAGTCCTGTGTATCCTGTTCTGGCAGTGCCTCTCACACGCTGAGTGTATGTGTTAGATGGGGAGTACTATCAGGACCAGTCCCAGTCCTGTGTATCCTGTTCTGGCAGAGCCTCTCACACCCTGAGTGCGTGTGTTAGATGGGGAGTACTATCAGGACCAGTCCCAGTCCTGTCTGTCATCCCATTCTGAGCATTTGAGTCTGGAGTTTTAAGTTGAGTCTAGGTTGTAAAGACCATCACCTTTGTCTTATTGTTCCCAGTCCTAGTGTTTAGTAAATTGTTATGGATTGTTATGGTTTGCACCTACCCATCATGCAGGCCTTGTTATAAGGGTGTTTGTGTGAGAGAGAGCAGGTATACCTATTTTTAAGACTGACTCAATGTCCCCATAACGTGATAAATATCAGGTTTTTTCCCTTATGGGGACCGGTACCACATCTTTCACTTTTTGGCTGAGAATTTTAGGTTCTATGCTAATCTTTTACTTTTTTTAAGAGGCAGATACAATCACAAAGATTAGTGGAAAAAGTTTAGATGTTTCTAGAATGGCAGAAATAGGAAGTTAGTAATGATGAAAAGGTCCTGCAAACTCTGTAATGTGCAGTTTAACAAAAAAAGATTTATTAATAAATGGTGTTAATTAAATTAAACTACTCTAGTTATTATGGTCAATGTTTGATATACACTGCCCATCTGTATATACTAAAATTACATAAAATTTTTTATCAGTAAATGCTAATCTCAAAGTAATCTCAGTCTGACAAAGAAAGTATTTTATTTCCCAAATATCTGGTGCTGTTGCTTTATATTGGATCTTTAATTATTAAGAGGGAGAGACCGTTGTAGGTTAATGGAAATCAGTAGTCAACCATCCTGTGACACTAAAAAGACTCACCTCCTCTGGGTATGAAAGAGAGCGTTCAGAGCCATCTGACTGAAAAAGAACAGGAGATCAAACTGTTTAGCGGAAGGCAATATGTCCACAATCTCAAAGACACGCCAGTGTACTTGGGTTCCTCAAGACGCACGTAGCAGATATACAGAAACAGATCATCGCTACGTTTACACTACGCTTACACGACACTTACACTACACTTACACATTGCCTCCTCATACATAAACATCTCATAGCCATGTTCTATGTTCTCTTTCTGCTATTTGCAGATACTTAACAGAATTACATTCATTCATACACACACACACACACACACCTATATATTAGCCCATTCCTTAAATTCCAGTGAAATCAAATTCCATATTGATAAGGCATACAATTCATATGAGGATACACACTTGCCGTGGTTGAGGATAACAGTGCAGTTGGGCCAGCAGTTGTGGTTAACCAAACACAGGTTGGGAAACAAACCCACACCGACCGCTTGCAGTCCTCTCTGGTCACTCAAGGTGAAGCCGTTACAATTAATCTGAGAAAGAGAGTTCATTTGCACTGTTCATTCATCTTCCATCCACACAGTACAAGCTACTGAGCAGGAGAAAAGTTGGGAAGAAGAACATCTCTCGAGAACATACCACACCAAAAATGTGAGAGATGCTGTCCACACCGTGTTTCTGGCCGTTATGAGGCCAGTAGTTCAGAAAGTCATGGACGTTGACCTTGAGCTCCTTCAGGTCATTGGGAGCCATGTCTGTCACATGGTCCTGCAGCTGTTCCACTGTGGTGAGCTGGCCGTCGGATATGATGCTGCCGCTCTTCTCTATGCGCCAGAGTATGCGGGCAGCCAGGCTGTAACCCAGATATTATACACATTCACACTTATTCATGTACCTCTATTTACACTTCATACTTGTATACATTCATACACAATATGCATGTATATAAATGTACTGTATATTTATTTCCATCCTTAAAAAACTAGCAGCATCTCATGCTTTCAGGAAAAGGTACAGAGATAAATGTAAAGTTTTCGGTTGAGTTGCGGCTAGATTTTCCATGACCAACCCATTCGAGGTCTGGATTGGTAGAGCTGAATGCATCCCTACCCATACAAGTTTTAGAAGAAACGGTCCAGTTCCAAGATTTCGGTCGAGGTACAAGTCGAAAAAAATTTGACAGGCCTGTTCGAAGTTGGTCAATTGGAGAGGTGTTTGAGCTCCAACGTTCTACTGAAATTAGTCCCACTACAGCATAGGCACAATGTTAGCATAATCATAACTTTGCTTTCAGCATCATAACAGAACACTGAAATTATTTTTTATTTTTTCCCTTCCCTAAAAGTTTTTGAATGACATCCCCACATTGATCTGTTTTTTCTCATCTTCAAACTGAAGTTTTTCACCATAAAAAAGTTTTTGACCATAAAACTTAATTTACTTTACCTGTGGGAAAATGGTATTAGATTTACAGTTAACATAACTAAATTTAGTGGAAGCTTATTGGTCCGCTAAGGGTTTACAAGGTTGGCAGAAACGCTATTTGAGATTCATCCAATAAGCTAAAGGATCTTGCTCGAGTGTCCACAAACATGGGGTTATTCTACCAATGATTTTTTGAGATTCTACCTGCTGAGTGACACACCACTCTGCTTCCAGCCAGATAACTGGAAGCCTTGAGTTTGAAAATGAGAAAAAACAGATCGATGTGGGCATGTCATTCAAAGAGTATTGTGATTGGTTGAAGAAGTGAAACACAAGCCCCTCCCCTGTTGAGCCAGGGGCATGTTGAATTAGGGGGAAATCAGCATATGCCAAATAAGTAAATGTAAATTTAAAAAAAATGGCTCCTGTCTGACTGGCCGCTTACCGGACGTTCTCATTGGGTGCCTTGCCACGCTTTTTAATGGCAGTGCACTCCTGCTTATGCTCCTCCCAGCCGGCACGCTGGCATGTCCGGTCGCAGTAATGAGCAAATCTGCACTGAGCGCAGCGATGCAGCTTCTCCTGGCGTCGGAAACAGCTGTGGCACACCTGGGGTGAAAGACTGTACATGCAAAAAACACTGAACGCGCACCATAGCTGAGAGTGCACTGACACCCAAATCACACCAACCTGTGATAAGATATAAACTACACAGCCACTGGGGGAGGGGGGGGGGGATTCTGTACAACAAACCCACCCCTGAATATTGCGTCAGAATAAAGTTATATTTAGGATCAATGGGAGATCTTAAAAGTCAAGATTAATATTAATTATTAATAGATTAATAATCTATTAATTAGTAGTTTTTCAGGAACATATTTTGAACGTTTTGAAAGGTCCAGAGAATGTCAGCCCCCAGCCTGACCTTGTGGATGGAATGGATTAGAATCCCTGGTCTAGATGTAAGTTCAGTATGTGAAACTTTGGAACTTTTGGTACTAAAAAATTGGTACTTTATTTCATCAAGTGGTACCAAAATACCAAACCTATTGGGGTACTCCACTGGTACTTTGGGGTGGGACTTGTAAACATGTTCATTGTTAACTGGTAGGGCTGTTCAGTTCCAAAAATTATGAACAAATATAGTTCCTGCATGAAATACATGAGCCGTCATGATTGATTAACGATAAGCATGTAATTGATTTATTAATGCATAACCAAAGGTGCCCTGTGCATGATCAGCAAATTTTATCAACAAGATTTCAAAATATCAGAACTAATGGTTGTTCCATGAAGCAGGATTTCTCAGTTCAGTGGGTTAACTTAAGCTATTAGTCATGATTGTCCAATATGAATTTAAATAAGAAGCATTCCTTTTGGACATCATGACTTTCCAGCTTAAGTTAACCCAGCTAACTGAGAAATCCTGCATCATGGAACGGCCCCCTGAACTGCAAAATAATGTTGCTTTTGAAAATACTGCATGCATCTGTATAATGTCCAGACATATGAAGCTATGAAAAAGCCTGATCTCAACCCAACTAACTATCACAATCCTTGCAATGTGAGAACAGCATGTGCATCATGTGAAGGCAATATTAATATAGCACATCGCCCAGCCTTCAGTACAACCACCCTGCCTCATGTTGTGATGATGTCATTCTATGCCGATATCAGTTTTTCTATGGCAGTGGAAAATGAACACAAGAAGTACCATTGACTTTGGTCCTGTTTTGAAGTACCAAACGTTTGGTACCTGATGCAGTGGAAAAGTGCCCAGAAAATACACATGATTGAATGCCTGTCTTTCAGGGACCATGTACTGAAGGCATTTTAGACACAGCAAATCAGGTACCTGCATAGTGTGTATATTTTAGGGCTGCATGAGGAAAGGAACATAAATAAAACTCACAAGCCGAGACATGGAAGACTACAGTGCCATAGACTACAGTGCCATAGACTATAGGGCATAGTCAAGGTCATTAATTTATTTTGAAATTTTGATGACCACAGTTAGGCTACTGGTACCAGGGAACCAGAGAAGGTTCCCCTTCAGTAAAATTTGCATGATAGTTGGGGATCAAAAACAGTAAAATTTGCTGATCTTCCCCTCAGTCAAATTCTAAAAGGGGCACTCAAGACTCAGCAGGAAGGCATTACCATTCATACATGCAAAAGGGTTGGGTGTGCAGCAACTGCATGTCACTGGCTGTGAATGCTTATATGATGATTCGGGACATGTGAGGTATATGAAGTGTTTTCCTGGTATCATATGATATATCATAAACTAAATGAGCCCACAACTGCTGATTATTCACCATGCATACAAAACCAAAATGTCAAATAAAATAGAAAAGTTCTTAAAATGTTTAAACAAGGAGGAAAGACAAAGGCCTGATCTGTGTGGCACCACATCACAGCAGCAAAGTGCTGGGATCCTGAAGTTTCTCAGGCTAGATCCACGCTGCCAGACGTCCTCATGACTATGCAGTCATGTGGAAGGCACGGATTTATCCCTGGCTACTGTCACCCCAGCAGACGCCCCCCAACCCTGAAATCCCATCTGCATTTCAACACGTAATTCTGGCATCTGGAATGGTTACATAACGAGCTATTTTTACATGATATTGCACCGTTACTCATTTTGGACATCATTTTAAAATCACTTCAGCCACTTTGTTTGTTTTTCAATCAAAAATATATTTTTTTTATCTTTTGAAACTTGTCTATTTGTCCATGACCACAATCACACTTAATTGTATGTGAATGAATTATGTAACTATGTAGTTTACAAGAAACACCTTTGCATTTTTCAGCAAGCCCTAGATTTCCATAACATTAAGTATAACTTCAGATCATTTTCTCCATCAGATTCAAACGTCAGCTCTTTCACACAAGACTTACACGGCGAAGAATAAAACCGCAGCACCAATCCCAGTATGAAGCAGATTTCAATGGTCTCTTCAGGCTTTAATCCATCTCCAATATTTCACAAAAAGAGTTCCAAAGAAATTTTAAATCTGAATTCAGACACTTTCTTGCCAGTATATACAAAAAAAACAGAATCTTTGTTATCTGGTGCCATACATATGGAGAAACGTTTGAATGAACATATACGTGTAAAAATAAGAACAGAACAAAAATGAATCTGGCCAAATATCACAATCTCATATTCTACATGTTGAGACTGTAACTTAATTTTAATATCATTGTAAAGTATACAGTATATGGTTCCTGATTGTTAAGGATTAAAGTGAGACGGAAAGCAGCGTAGAGTGAGGTGGGTGATTAGTTTCTTGACCACGCATGTACAGCCTGCCTGATTACAGCTGAGATTATGTAAGCACCTCCAGCCTTGGAATCTTGGTTTCTGGGCTATTGAAGCCACAGTCAGTGTTGAGTTAAGCAGCCAAAAGCTGCTTACAGTAACTCAAAAAAAGTGACATGAGGCCCTGCATCTAATATAGCTCAGGATGAAAAACTGGACACAATGGTTTCTGTCGCTTTTACGAAAGTGAAATATATCACTGAAATATATGTACTGAAACTGAATATATCAGCTTTAAAACATAATAAAATGCGTTTTAAGAAAACGTTTGAGTAAGATTTGTAAGAGGTATTATTCAGTCTTTACCCAAATCTACCCAAAAGTGACAAAAATCCACTCACATTTGCTCTCCTGCTCCTGCATCTAGAAAACATTCATATGTGGAGCAGAAACCAGGCCCATCACACCACAGAGCGTCAGAGAAGCGCCTTATTATCAGCAATCACGATGTAGCTGTATTTCATCACGTTAAATGCAGCAGTTTCACTGTTTCCTGAACAATGCAGGTGATCTGAACATTACATTTTAAGCAGATTTAGTCTCTGAGTCGGGTGAAGTTTAATAAAGTTAGTCTGCGCGTCACTGTCGGGTGTTCATGTCACAATCATAAACCCAAAAGCACTTATACATTTCTGATAAGTCTCGAAATACTTCTTAGATTTTGCTAGTCTTTTCTAGTCAGCCTGTGATTCCATAGTAATGTGAGTATCCTTACCTGTCAAAAACCACGGCTGCAAAGCTGGGCTCAGCGAAGACCACCTGACCTGCTGCTAGGTCCTTGGTGGCCCTGAGGCCTCGACCTTTCTTCTCGGTATCAAAGACTTCCACGGTGACCAGAGTCATGTCTGAGTGGAGGCCAAGCACAGAAAAGAGGACAGTGGAGGTGTTACTGCTGTTGCTGGCCAAGGAGATGCATGCACAGTCCTTACTCACAGCCCACTGCTCACCTGACTAAAACAGCAAGCAAATCCAATTCACCCGCGGGGGGGTCCACGAGGCAATGAGCCTGCTGGCAGAGGGGCTGGACTCGACAGAATGACAGAAGAATGAAAGGCCGCTTTGCTTTCTCCACCCTTAAAGTAACAGGCTGTCCAGAAAGTATTTTTATCTGCCACTTGTGTCTGTCCATCAGTGGTCATACTATGGCCAACCATGAGACAGGAGCAGTATCAGGAGTACTGAGATACTCACGCTTACTTTTTCCTCATCTGCTTCTTTTTCTTAGTGTCCCTTTATCTTTCCCATTCATACCTCAAAATAATTCATGTATACTTTTTAAAGTATTGCTTCTTTACTCAAAAGCATGGTTTGAAGTTTCTGAGTAATGATACAAATTCAAAGACCTGGATGTACAAATTTCCTGTCTAGGCTCAGAGTAATACAGAATACCGTATGTTTGCCCATAATGAAAACAATCTCACTTTCCTAATGCTACATTACTTCCTTACTTCCAGCATTTCCAATGCTGGCATCTGCTCACACCTCCAATCTATCTCCATAATATGTATAAACTCACACAGTCATTTTCAGTGACTATAAGATGGGTAGTTTCACTCAGCCTTTTTTTTGGTGTAAAATCACTGTAGAACATGTAGAACATCATGCAAATACTGTCAAGTTTGAAAGGGTGTGTTTTTATTTTGAGTGATTTTTTAAAAATCCCTATTGATAGTTTTACTCAGTAAATACTCAGATTGCCTGCTTTGTTGCTCACTGAAGGTGTACCCAACTAAATACTCCTTTCTGAATCAGTATGCTTTGCTACCCTGTTCTGAATAAGCAGTTTAGAATGGATGAACAAAAATATTAACAAAGTTTTAAATAGAAGCATCAAGAAAAAATATTTGTGTAGTACAGCAACCCTTTATCCTTAAACATGTGAAAACAATTCAGGGACCTGCATAACCGTATAAAAATAGTACATGCAGTTTCTCCTACACTTTAAGAGTGACTGATCTTTGGAAAAATTACACTTTCATAAACAAGAAGGCATGCTCTTAGGTTCCAATGCTCCGTCCAGACAGTGTTTACAATGAAGAAAGTAGAAGGTGGCCACCAGAGTTACACTTAGGGTAAGTAAGCCAGGCAAAGCGACCAGAAGATGAACAACACAGAGACAGCACCTGACGCTGATGTCATATCAGCACCTGACGCTGATGTCATATCAGCACCTGACGCTGATGTCATATTTCTCATTTATCAACCATATTAGAATTTACAAATAATGATTTGCATTAATTTATTTTTATTGTATTATTTAATTATAACTATGATTATTTTGGATAATGTATAAAATCAGTAATACAAAATATTGCGAATGAGACCAAATAAGAATTACCATTATAAATATTTAAATTATTTTGAAAGCCTTGAAATGAGAAGTATTATAGGAATCATGGTCCATGGTACATCGAATCTCTCTTGTCTAGGGGGACCTTTCTATCAAACATCAGTCAGTATGATTTTACTGCAGCTGTATAACAGGCCTTCTGTTGAATAATTTAGCAGATGCTTCTAGCTGTTAATGTAATAGAGCAAAGGATTAATTATGATTTGGGTTTGGGGATAAAACGATGCATTGATTTATTGTCAGATAAAATTTAAACAATTAAAAAAAGAAAAATTAGAAAAACTGTAGATAATGAACATCACTTGATAACACACATCACATCACAGAAACAAATGCAATTCCAACCCATCATTTGGTTTTGTGTTTCAAGAACAAACGACCTCTAAACACACAGAAAGGCTGTTTTGAGTTGGCACAGCACTGTTCTGGTAATACTAGTATAAGTGAGTCATGGAAAAGCACTTCCTCAGAGGAAAGTTCTGTATGAGAGTCCTTAAAGAAAGTGACACCTCAGCAATCACATCTGTCAAAAAGGCAAAACTGAGAATAACCGAGGTAGAAAGACATTGGTGGTGTAATTTGGCAATTTAAAGGCTGGTGTACTGTAAACTCTACTGAAAACTTGTGTAAACTGGACATACTGTGAAAGTTTGCAGTCCATTCAATTTGTCATCTTTTTCATGTTCTGAATCTGTTTAAGGGGAATCCTAGGTGAATTTTAAGAAAAAAAAACCTATAAATTATGTGATGAATTATATTGTGATAATTATCAATATCAACCGATATTTTTAAAATTGTGATAAAATATTTTGCCATATTGCCCAGCCCTGTACACATGGATTCTACACCCATGTTGTCTTTAACAAAACTATGAAGTCCCAGACTTGAGACAGTACCGTAAACCATAAGCACACCACATCAGATATTTGGTCTTATTTGACATATTTGGACACATTTTTATTTCAGGACACCACAGGAGAGCACTGTGACTTAAGGGCTGGACAGAAGGTTCTGGAAAGAAACGTGCTGGACAACTTTGCAGATGGTGGGGAAACAAAAACCAGGACACTGTACTAAAAGACAAAAACCAAACAAACAGATTATAAAACGAAAACTTAAACAGTGACATGAGACAGAGCATTCGGGAGCATGCAGTCTAACGTTCCAAGACTAGCAACACTGAGCCCACTGCAAAGACAGCATTGTGGAAAAAATGCAGGAAAAAAACGTTGCATTTTGATAAAATCAAGCCTGAACTTTCACATTAAGCACAAAGAGTAACAAGATAGATGGATTCAATCATCACAACAATCAATATGGGAAGACTGGACAGAAGACAGGAAGTTCTGGAGGAATGCTGTCTGTATTGTAGTTAGAGTTGTGGGTCTTGAGTACCATCTAAAGTCCACATATTTCGGGTCTTGATTTGAACACTTGTGACTCAAAAAGTCCTCTAGGGTCCTTTTGAGTTCACAGCGTATGTCTGCAACCATTATGCAGCTTTAGTCCCCCCCCAAATTCTTATATTATCTTCAATGAACTTTCTGCAGCACCCACTCCTGCCCTTCATCACGTCTGCCAAGTCAGCAATTATCCCATGTACATACATAAACTATAAGGAGTTTTTTGTGCAAGACATCAGGTTTAAAAAGACAGCATAAATCGCAAAAGCATCGATAACAGATAGCTGGTGCAATTTCCTGTTTCAATCAGCATTTGGAAAAGAAACAAAGTTAACTACATAGGTTGATGTGACCCCATCATCATGAGACTCCATTGTGCAAGTTTAAGGCGTGAAATGTTCAGAGCGCTTGTATTTCTGTAAAGCATTATGTCGTTCTGCTGTGGCGAGTCACAGTCGTAATAGATAACATGTTACATAGTTCTGTATGCACTTTAGCTACATTGCATGTTTCATAAATTTAAATAAAAACAAGCCTTTTAAAGTATCATTGTATTGTTTTATGCAGGGTTTACAGCTACCCATTCATTTTTTTAATTGTTTCACATATCAGCTAGTAACATATTTCTGTACTAAAATGATACCCTGTTATTGGAATTATGACCTTAATAGGATGTTTATTATCTATCTGGTAGATGGCATCCTGTAAGTAACAAGTTGTAAGTAACAAGTTGTAAGTAACAAGTTGTAAGTAACAAGTTGTAAGTAACAATTGAAATCACAAAAAAATCTGTTGCTTAAACCAATTTGGTCACGAAAGAGTGTAAACTGTGACACAGAAAAAACTCGGTAGTAACTATTACCTGGTCAATAAACGACTGTATCCAATACCTTTCAAAGAAAATAACCATGTTAACGAGAAAACGCTGAAAGGACATGTGAGGGTCATGTAGGCCGTCCCCTCAGTCTGTACGCTGTGCCCTTCTATCGTCCTACAGGTCATAAAAATCAATGTGGGCACCAGACTGGTACCCATCCTCCAGCAGCAGCTTCACCAGCTTGGCCACAGACTCTCCGCAGGTCAGCAGCTTGCCTTCAGCATGCAGGGCACTCAGCGTCTTCCTCAGCTCTGGGTCTCGTGTAGTGGATCGAGCCTGTACCTGCATCTCTGTGTCGAGAGGACCTGTGAGGCAGGGAACGGGAAAGTCTACTCAGAAATAAACATATATATATATAATATAGTATATCATGATATTATTATTACTATTATTATATCGAATAATCAACTAAAGATATTCAATATCATTCAAACGCCATTGCACACATCATTGCACCAATCTAAGTATGACACTGTCCTAGGTGCAGTAGACCACAGGAACTTTTATGACATCCCATTCTAAATCCATAGGCATCGATATGGAGTTGCCCCCCCCCCCCCCCCTTGCAGCTATAACAGCTGCCACTCTTCTGGGAAGGCTTTCCATAAGATTTTAGAGTGCATCTGTGGGAATTTTTGCCCATTCATCCAGAAGAGCGTTTGTGAGGTCAGACAGTTCAGTTGGGTGAATTCTAGCTCAGCCCAAAGATGGGATTGAGGTCAGGTCTCTGTGTGGGTCAGCCATGTTCTTCCATATCAAACTCAACCATGTCTTTATGAACCTTGCTTTGTGAACTGGAGCACAGTCACGCTATAACAGGAGAGGGCCTTCCCCAAACTGTCCCACAAATTGAAGTATAGAATGATCCAAAATGTATTGTTATGTATTATAGTCGTAAAGGGGGGACGAACTCCATATTGATGCCTATGGATTTAGAATGGGATGTCATGAAAGTTCCTGTGGGTTTAACGGCAAGGTGTCTCAACAATTTTGGTCATATAGTGTATGTCTATCTGCCAGCTTGCCTGTCTGCATGTCTGTCTGTATGTCTGCCTCTTCGCCTGTCTGCCTGCCAGCTTGCCTGTCTGTCTGTCTGCCTGCTCACCTGTCCATCTGTCTGCCTGTCTGAATGTCTGCCAGCTTGCCTATCAAGTGTACCTGGGGCGTAGCTGAGCACACGAAGGTCCGGCTCTTCCTTGGCTAGCACCTGGAACATCATGTTGCGGGCTGCCTTGCCAGTGCAGTACAGGACCCAGGAGGGGAAAGGCTGCAGGGCACACAGCGAGCTGACATTGACCACGCAGCGCCGCAGCCCGGGCCGCTGTGGGAAAGCCCCCAGCAGCCCCGCAGTCAGGCTGAGGGCAGAGCTCACATTTAAAGAGAAGTAGGAGTCCACTTCCCTAGGGTCTGTGAAGCTAGTGGCCAGCCGGGACACATCACCCAGAGAAGCTGCATTACAGGGAGGAAGGGGAATACGTCATCACAAACAAATCACGCCATGCCCGCACATCGTTTAAATAGCAGATGATTTTGCGCCCACTTTCCACTCCTAAATGTGGTGTTTTTTAAATGAGGTGTGTCCAGGTGCATTGTCGGCGCGTTGCTATTTTAAGGCAACAAAATGACGTTGTGCTTTTGAGTTGACCAAACAAAACCACGTCTAAAGTCAGCGACGCATTGTTAAACAGTATTGAAGCGACGCGTTTTAGATTAGGTACGTAGGTATGCTCTGGAAGTGCAATGGTTTTTATTGTTTATTTTATTTAAATGCATTTTATTACAGAGTTCACGTAAGGAACAACTATAATAATCGGTTCTTAGTCATTTAAATGAGTTCGCCTCTTTAGTCTGTATTTTCCTGCTTTCTAAGATTGTGTATTGCAGTACCTAATGTTGTGCTCGTTTTATTCGTGACTTAGTCCAGAATCACAGGTAGAAAACAGGTTTTTGTGAAAATGAAAAAAATGGATAAAAATGGACATTGCGATGAGGGGTATGCTACAAAATCGGTAACAATTCAATACTGCAGAAATTCACTATATACCAAAATATGAACAGGATAAATAGGTGGTATTGGTGAAACTCACCCGCATTGTTGATCAGTAATAGATGCTCTATATCTGCAGAAGGCGTCTCTCTGGCTGCCCTCACCGTTTCCTCAATCCCTTCTTTCTCTCTTAAATCAGCTACCACACAACGTATGGCCAGCCCAGCCCGATCTGTTTCCGAGCTCGCAAGATCTGCCCGAAGCTCATTCAGCTTATCCCTGGATCGGGCTACCAAGAGAAGTACGGAATTTGGTTTGAGCAAACTGTATACTTGTATAGCAAGAGTCCGACCAAAACCTTTTGAAGCGCCGGTAATGATACACAGAGCTCGACCTAAGTCCCTGGAGACTGGAGCAGTCATGCCTGAAATAAAATCTGTATTATAGCAACAACAGTTGGTAGTGTGTACTACACTGAAGTTTTGATTTCAGAAATACCCCAGGGGACCACCTCCTAAAATAAATATATTACGCTTCACAATGTTACTAATCCTCTTTTTTCACTTCCTTCCTGCTCCCATATCCAAAGACACGTGACGACCCGATGTTTCATTTTCGGATTTCCAAGGAAATTATTCCGGACAACAGTTGGCAGACTAAGATTACACACCGTTTTACTCATTCGTTTGCAGAATGTGATATTTTTTACTTTTGTAAACGTCTATTAAAACATGCATTTTATTGTTAATATTCCCGAGTCAAGTGTTTCTACTGCAGTCCTTTTATTTAGTACTCTTATTCAGTGTGGCGATTGTTGCCATCATACACCCGATCGTGCAACTCCGTCGAACTCACTTTCCCATAATGCACTGCCAACTGAAATTACGGTAGCTCGGGAAGCTCAAAGTAGTTTTTTAACCATTATGTATATCTACAATTTATAATTGCTAAGGCATGAAACATAGTTTCATATAGTTTGACCAACTTTCACTAGAAAAGGCCTACGCAGTAAAATCACAGTGAAAACGGGAAAAGACATACAAAAAAAACAAACATAGAAAAGCACTTCAGGAATTTCAGAAAGTCCAAGTGGAAAAGTTTTAAACAACTTTCTCTTTATAAATTTCAAGGCCAAAAGAAATACTGTAGTTCCCCATGAAAGGCTGCAAATGATGGCCTTTTTATGTACCTTGCTTTATAGATAAAAAAAGTCAATAGCTTGTAAACAACCTGCTTCATATTTCTTGACCAATTCTGCTTTACCAATGTTGTGTATTTTCCTATTCTTTATGTAATTAAGGTGAAGTTAATTAATGGCTTTAACAGCTGTTTTGGGGATTGCCATGCAACATGTAGGATAGATCAACCTGGAGATACCGAATATTCCATTTTTGTCAAAAAACATGATCAAATATAGATAAATCCCTATGTGAGTACAATGTGACCAAACATTTATATGCAATTTGTCTTTGTTTACCTTATTCCAAATATTAAACCTTTCTCACAAAGCAGTATCTTTTGTAATTTGAATATCCAAATATACTACAGACTTTATTAGTATTTTGTGAGCTATCCTGAGGCAGCATTCTTTAACTGCCAATATTTCACACTTGTTAATGTTTAACATTAAACAAGAAGAATTTGTGAAAATGGTGATATCAATGATCGTTGGGATTTGGTTGATGTTTTTTTTATATATAAATATTACGGTGTCATGAGCCACCAAATTGATGACAAACTGTCCATAAAACAGTTTCTCGAAATCTGAATTTTTAATAAGGATTGATAGCATCTCAATATTGAAAATCAGGGGGAAGACTGAGCAACCTTGCTTAATATCTCTATTAGCTGAAAAACTTGGGGAGGAACCATGAGTTAATATAACAGCACTATTTGTATCTTCACACAATAGTTTAATTACATCAATAAATATCTTCCCAAACCCAAACCATTCCAGAATTTTAAACATGAAATAGTACTGAATAATATCAAATGCTTTGCAGAAATCTAAAACCAAGATCATCTTCTATTAAATAATTATATCCAATAGATGAAGTACAAGAATACTTTTTGTAGTTGTTTGTAGTCATTATTTAATAGCTTTTCTGGCCTCAGATTATCCAACTGTCTGAAATCCTTACTAGGTTTAGCTGTCAGAATAATAGGTCCCTGTTTCATTGTATGTGGAAGGGCCTGGGCATCTCTTAAGTAATGGAACTTCGAGTGAATTCCAGAAATGTCTGTAGAAATTACTAGTTAAACCATCTGATCCGGGAGATTTATCTACAGACAGACAATTCATTGCCTTCTCTAATTCCCATCAGAATCAGTATTAATATCAGCCTTGCAATACATCTGTCTTGGAAAACCATTTTTCGGTAATCTGGAAAAAAAGAGTCAACTTCCGTAGTGTCACGTTCGGGGACCGGCGAGCCGGGAAGCAAACGAGAACAAGCCAGGACTGACGGGCAAACGGGGTTTATTCTGAGGCTGACGGACAGACGAAGCACAGTACATGACAATACAATGCCCGATCTCGCAGACATGGGGAGACGCGGACTGATATACACAAGACTTGGTAAATGGAACAGGCAACAGGTGAGAACCATCAGGGCTGAACACGAGGTAATGAGGGGGGCGTGGCACACATCGGGATCGTACGGAGCGGGATATGACACGTAGGGGAATTAGAGGAGGAGTGATTTCAGTTTGAAGACTCGCCTTTCAAACCAGCCTTGAGCACCTGGACAACAACAAGAGAAACACCTTCTGCCAGGATGTTATCCATCGTCTTCAGCTCAGCCTTCAGTACCACGGTACCAGGCTAGGTGGTAGGCAAACTCAGGGGGCTGGCCTCAGCAAATCCATGAGCACTTGGGTCCTAGGCATCCCCAGGGTTGAAGGTGAAAAAATGTGTTTTTAAAAATGGGTATCTGAGCAGGAATTTGCAATTGAGAACATTAAAGGAACGCACAGTTAGCCTGGTATGAAGACAATTCACTTCCCATGTAAGACTCACAGAAAGCTCATTGGGGTGTCCGGCCACTTAGATTTTCTGAATGATAAAATCCCCTGGTGATGGTAGTAGTAGTAGTGGTAGTAGTAGTAGTAGTAGTAGTGGTAGTAGAAGTGGTAGACGTAGTAGTAGTAGAGCTTTATTGTCATCTCCACCATATAAATGAAAGCACACAGTGAGACGAAATAACACCCTCCAAGACCAAAGGTGCGACGTACAACACAACAGGACAACAGCACACTCAGAGATCGACAATGAGGATAATTGGGGGCCGGGGAGGGGGGGAAATAAATAATATCTGTACATACATCTCTGAATATACATATACCTAAAAAATAAAATAAAACTATCTAAAAAGACTTTTAGGAGGGGGGGGCACATCAGAGAGGCCGTGACAATACAATATATGTTATACAAGACTGTGGTAAGCGCATTTTTATTTCTGGGCCTATTCCACTGCTTGGCCGGGGCGACGGCCATTTTAGCCGCTTCCTGAATCTTAATACATGGCTCAACTCTGCCTGTGCTGCTTATAATGCTGTTTTTATTGACAATTTTAATTTGTTTTGGAATCGTCCCTCCTTTTATTTTAAAGATGGCGTCCATCCTAGTAGGCTGGGTGGACGTATCTTAAGGAATAACATATTCTACAACGTTCTCAATGCGCAGGCAACATGACTGGCTACAACTGCTCATTCTAATAGAATAGTGTGCCCCATGAGCAGGAACTTGTAGGACATCAGACAGACATCTGATCTTTTTTTATATTCCCTGGCAGCCTTGAAGCACTTTGTGACAACAGCCTGGCTCAGGGAGGTGTTGAAGATCTCAGTCAGTCAGCTGGTCAGCACAGGCTCTGAGCACTCGACCAGGTTTGTTGTCAAGTTTAGCAGCTTTGCGTGGGTTGACCCTGGTGAGAGTCTTTTCATGCTGGCTGCAGACAGGGACAGCACCTGGTTGTCGGGCGGGAGGATGGTCTTCTGTACTGGCTCGGTGTTCCGGGCCTCAAATCTGGCGTAGAAGGTGTTGAGTGCATCTGGTGGGTGTCACACACGTGCGGCGGGGTCCTGTAGTCTGGATGGCTTGGATGCCCTGCGTAACTCTCCAACAGGAGTAGTGGTTATTAATTTTACGCTTTGCCAACTTGATGCCTCAGGACAGGTTGGTTCTGCTCTGAGCGCCACGTTGTCATTCAGCAGCTTATGAACCTCTGCTGATGGTTTAACCCTGACAAGGACATCCAGTGACTGAGTTGATCTGAGTAAGTGAAAAATTGACATTGCACTGGTTTTTGAATTAATTTAATGAAACGTACAAGATGAAATTAAACAGTAAAAGAGTTCACATTCACATCACCCACGTCATTTTAATTTTTAATAATCTCAAAATATACACACATGAATACAATCTGCATATTTCATGAATACAATCCATATTTCATAACCACTTTTATCCCAGGAAGGGCACAATTATATATATATATATATATATATATATATATATATATATATATATATATATATACAATTACAAAATGAAGAATAATAGTAAACGTAAAAACAAACACACACACTGGTAAAAGGTTACAGGTTATTATTTGCTTGGTTTTTCTCATTCTAGCTGAGTAAAATACATCAATGATTTAAAAGTCCAGAATTATTCCCGTTAACACATTCATCTGTAATTACCCATTGTTTCAGTACGAGAGGGGGATATAAGGCTCTCGATGGAACAAACAGACACGCTTAGGTCTGCTCAAAAATATTTAATTAAAAGTGATACAAAGTTATGAAATATAATAAGAAATAATAAGTAATTCCCCAATAATGATTACAAAATTATGGAATATAATAAGGCAAAATTATGAAATGCCATAAACATTGATAAGTAGTTCAAAGCGATACAAAATTAGGAAATATCATAAGCATTGTAAGTAGTCCCCCTAATGATTAAAATGCATCAGCAGTTGCAAAGCTATTCGCACATGAACATGCCATCATCACCCACCTTCACACTCGGACGTGCAGTCATCACCCATCTTCACACACGGACGTGCAGTCATCACCCACCTTCACACACGGACGTGCCGTCATCACCCACCTTCACAC